AATCGGCTAGAGAGAGGAACTCACTGTGTTTGTAAGAGGGAGAGCGAGAAAGGAGTTGTTAGGCGACGTCTTATCTTTCGTCCTATTTAATTTCTTTAAAAACGCCTCCATCTCATGTATGAGGTGTCGCGTAATTGACCGCCTTTAACACCTGAAAACCACGTCCACTAAAGGACGTGGCGAGGCAGCAAAATCTTAAACCAAATGAAGGTAAAAGCTTTTGAAAGTAGTGATGGTCCTTAAGGACCATCATGCTCATATGGACCATCACTTATTAAAAGTTTCTTTTTTTTTTTTTGTTTTTTTTTGTTTTTTTGAAAGTGTAGGATTGTTTCAAGCCAGCATCGCTAGTAAGATATGATTGTATTGCTTTTTCCTCTGCAAGCGTGCACGATTCCTTTGTGATCTCTCTTGCTAACGATGCTATGCTCGTGAGTGTAGACTTAGTCCACAACTGACTCCATACCTTAGCTTTAGATCAGCATTGTGACTTCGTATCTTAGCCCCGTTCCTCGGCGTTGTAGAAACGATACTACTCTAATGAATCTAAAGAATCTAGCACTATAGCTTGACTGAAAATAGGAGGCCATAAACTTCAAACAAAGTCGTCTAAACCAAAAAATGTGTGAACCCAATCTAAAGAACATTATGAAGGTTCCCTATAAATGATCTATTGGCTTTTAGTGAACAATGACTCGTAGCAGAGAGGCAGCTTATTGTTGCAAGCATGCATTAAGCATTAAGCATTAAGTAATCAACAATGCATAAGGGAACAACACGAATTGATGATATGTTTCGCAAGCAAATGTGTCAATTCAATGCAGTGGAAGGCCTGGGCTAATGCCCCTAGATTCGTCCGTTGAATTACCGATCAATCAGACTCTTGGATGAGGGAAACATCTTGGAGACATCTCTACCAAAGAGTGTCATAAGGCCTCACTCTGTACTTATGCACTCTACTCGCTGCCTATGGAACGAATTACCATAGGGGTACATAACTTCTGTAGAACTTATGAAACCCTAGAGAGAGAAAGTGAAGAGAAGATCACGAATCGTTCATTCTACTCAACAATTAGTTTTACATATTAGTATATATGTGTACAGTAGACAAAAATACCCTTGACCCTATACAATGCTATAAAAGATAATCTCATCCTTAACACCCCCCTCAAGCCAAGCATGTGCCTTGTGCATCAAGAGCTTGTCTGTGAATTTATGGTGTCTTGATTTAGTTTGTGCTTTAGTGAACATGTCTGCCAGTTGATGGAATGAAAGAATAAAGGTCATTGAAATAGCACCTGATACAACATTTCTCTAATGAAGTGATAATGAACTTCTATGTGTTTAGTGCAAGTATGGAAGATAGGATTGGTGGCTATGCACATGGAACTTTGATTATCACAAGCTAGAATGGTTGGTTTAATTGTCGAAACACCAATTTCCTTAAGGAGCATACGTAACAAAGTAATTTCTGTCGTGATAATATTCATTGCTCTATATTCTAATTCTGTACTGGATTTAGATACCGATGCTTACTTTTTGCTACTTTAGGAAATCAAACTTTTTCCTAATAAGATACATAATCTTGCAATGGACCTACAATCATTAGGGCACCTAGCCCGATCAGCATCAGAGTATGCTTTGAGGTCAGGTGAATTGGACAAACTATAGAATAAGCCATCATGTATAAACTTTAAATACCTCAAAATCCTTTTTGTGGCTTCCCAATGAGGTTGTTGAGGAGCCTG